GCTCATTACTTTCTGGGCTGACAGCCTGGAGCACATGCTGGACCACTCCCGCCTAGGAGAAACCACGGATGGCAGAGCCCCCTAACGTGGGCAGAAAGTCGTTCTCCTGTCACTCTGTGCCAGCTGCTCACTGTAACCTTTGTCGTTGCTCACCCCACCTCCCTAATTGCATCCTATCTGCAATCAGGGCTCCGCCTCATGGGGGCAGGGGGAGCACGTCATGCCTTGATTTGCTCAGGAAAGCACCTCCACCATTTGGATGGCTGTGTGTTAAACAACAAGGTTTATGTGGGGATCTGGCTCTCGTTTCCGAGCTATTTGAGAGACATCGGCTTCCTTGGTCCCCCCAGCAATCTCACTTCTGGCACTTTTCTGGCTGGAACACAATACTGCCAAGGCCTCTGAGACTGAGCTTACATATGACGGGATTTGTGTCCTTGGTCCATTCCATGAGCTGCGCCTGGAGTTCTGATTTTGTCAGCACTGTGTCAATGGGAAGGACTCTTGGAGAAACTGCAAAGAGCCAAATCAACATCAGGTTGAGGAACAGAGGCTTTCCTGGGGGTCTCTTCCTGACAGTCAAGCTCACTAAAGGCCGCTTACTCCCACCCAAAGTCTCTGGGTAGGGAGCCAGTTGCTGCTGTTTCAGTTGGTTCATTCCCAAAAGTTGGACTCATGCACAGCTCACAACCCAACCCCCAGGGTATGGCGTCTCCAGGCCTCATTGAGCGCCATGCAGAGACCCCTGGGACAGAAGAAAAGCACAACCTCAGGAAAAGCGTGAGGGGAGAGAAGCATGGTCTTGGGCACCAGAGAAACCTCTCCTCTTGTCCCATAATCCCATCGAGGCACATCCAGCCAGGAGCAATCTCACCTCTGTCTCTCCTCCCTCTCTTTGCCATGCCCCACAACCCATCCTTGTGCAGAGAGGAGCTAGTTGGCGGTAAGGGGCTGCTGAGCTGCTGACAACAGGCCCCAGAGCTTTACTGGCCTGAGCTGCTCTCCAGAAAGCCCCCTTGTGCCTATCAACCAATGTATCTCACCTCAATACAGAAAGCCATGGCAATTGTTCTCTGCTCCTCCTCCCTCTCACTCTGGACGATGGTGATTGCCTCTCTGAAAACTGCAGGGAGCTGAGGGTTCTCACACTCGATCATGGCTCTGGGAATATGGAACAGAAAGTCCCTTGTGATTTTCAAGGGGGAGAGAAAGTTCCTCTCCAGTTGCTGGGCCGAGCTGGTGTTCGAACAGAGGAATATTTCACATGGAAATCCCATCTACAAGAGAGACCCAGTGAGGAGGAAAACTTTGGGCTCCTACCTTGTAATCAGGCCAACACCCTGTGAGTAGTAATATCGGGAGGTTATTGTGTCCCAACCTGTTGAAACTGGATGATGGCAAATTCCTTCCAGTAGCCGGGCATGGAGAAAAG